ACCCTAACCCTAACCCTAACCCTAACCCTAACCCTAACCCTAACCCTCCTGTGGGCCCATATGTGCACTGCACAAGCGTATCGTACTTGCGCCCACCCTGTACCAGGTACCCATGCTCAGGCTTGAGACCTCCTTAGCTGCATGCACGGATGAAGGAACTGAGGCTGTGAAGGGCAAAGAACAGGGTAGCCTTATATCCTCTCTTTCCCACACAGCTTCCAACCCTAGACAAATGAGCCCCTGCCTCTCCATCCTTCCCCTAGACAAGCCCCCACAAACCCTATATCTCCTTATCCCCCACCCAGGTCAGCTTAGGTACATGGACCTCATGCCTGAGCTGAGTCCCAAACAGAGGCAGGGAGAGGCCACAGCAGGAATCACTAGGGACACACAGAACCTCCATGGGTATCAGCATAGGCATCCCTGGAACTCTTGAGTCAGAACTCCAGCCAAAAGCTTCACTTCTCATCACCCCATCTGAAGGTAGGCCTTGAAACCAGCTGCCAGGGACCTGCTCTGCCACAGCAGGTGACCAGTGAGGAGGACCTAGGCCAACATGCCAACACTGAGGATGATTACTGTCTCCTCACACATTCCCTATGAAGGACTCCGTCTCAAGGGAAAGAAGGAAGGAAGGAAGGAAGGAAGGAAGGAAGGAAGGAAGGAAGGAAGGAAGGAAGGAGGGAAGGAAGGAAGGCCCTCCAGGAGCCGAGCTTTATAAACTCCTCTCCATACCTTCCTAATCCTTTATCAGAACAGTTCTCAACTGCTGTGGGTCACGCCTTGTTGGAGGTTGAAACACTCTTTCACAGGGGTTGTCTAAGACCATTGGAAAACACAGATATTTGCATTACAATTCATAATGGTAGCAAAATCACAGTTACAAAGTAGCAACAAAAATAATTTTGTGGTTGGGGGGGTCACCACAACATGAGGAACTGGATTAAAGGGTGGCAGCTTTAGGAAGGCTGAGAACCGCCGCTCTATCATTTAAAACAACAAAACGATCACAAACTATTTATTTACAGCCCTCTCCAGAGTGACCTTGCCAAAAAAAGGATAGGACAAAGCGCACACTTTGGATGATCAAGTCCTAACTCTGCTCTCACCCTGGGGACACTGTTAAGGACAGGGGGAACCTCACCTATTTACAGACCAACATCTCTGGGCCCTGCTTCTGGAGGTTTCTGGTAGAGAGGAAAGGCCGAATGTACCAGGCCGCAGAGCATGCTCTCACAGCGACCCCACGGACCCAGCCACGCTGGCCAGTCAGAAGCAGAGTCCCAAAAAATCAACAGCCACCTGCTCCCTGGCTACTGGCAGGGACCAGCAAGACCAGCGGAGACAGCAGCGGGACACGGAGCAGCTGGGAAGAGCCCTGAAGCCACAGCCGGGAGCCAGGAGCAGGGGACCCATTGAGGCCAGTGTGCCAGGGGCCTGGACAGCAGCTGTAAGGATTTCCGGAAGCTTGGGTGGAGAAGAGACCGTGATTCCTAGCTCCCCTCTTAAAATATAAAGGCTCAATTATCTTTGAGCAGCTTGCTTTACACATGAATTGACACATTTATTTTACAATAAATAACTGAAAGTTATCTGTGTTTCCTTTACTGTTAATCTACACAGAGAAATAATAAACAGGCCTTGTCTACCAAGCTGCAAGGACTGCAGGGTCCTCAGAATTCAATTAAGCTAAAATAATTAATGCTCTCGCCATATTAAATTACTTTATACATTCAAGCCACTGATGCTTTATTCTTTAATTTCTCCTTTCTAGTAAATGAAAAAGAAAATAAGAAAAGAAAAGTTGGTACCTAGTCGGGAGGGACCAGGAGACCCCAAGGTAGAAAGGGTGAGGTGTGTGGTGGGGACAGGAGTGGCCAGTTGCAGCTGACACAGAATGAGGAATGCTTTGTGCCTTTGATTAGAATAGCATCTTAAAGACTTCCAACAAACATAACTCCTTAGGTTTCTAAGGGCTTATTTCACATAGTTCTTCTAGAATGAAGAAATCTGCTCCCCCCCTTGCTCCTCTCACTCTGCCACTGACCAGATGGACCAAGGATACCTCCTGCCACACATAAAGTAAAAATACCGTGGGCCATTAACAACAGTATTGGGGGTGGGGGGATGGGGTTGGGGGGTGGGAAGCTGGAGGATAAGAACAAGCCACTAGGAGATTAACTGCCTTTTGAAAAAAAAATTCACATTTAGTTGCTTTCTTAAGCAGACCTCCCCCACGGTGATCCACAGGCTGCCATTGGGAAAGACCTTCAACATAAAATGAGGATTTGGAGGCTGGGGTCAGCAGATGAAAGACGACAAGGAGCCAAACACCCTTCAAAAGGGACAGTGCACTGCTGACGCACGGCGTCCCCCCCCACACACACACTTCTGAAATCCATTCCAAGTGGATCTCAAAATCCACAGACAAGGGACTCGACCCCCTTCTGGCCTTAATGCCGTGCAGGCCATGTTTGTCTGCCCCAGGTCTGCTTATGTGTTCATACCTAATTCCCAAGGCCAAAATGGTTGACAGGTCCTCCCCACTGCCCAGACTGTGTCTGTGGGGGCTTTCAGACTGTCTAGCTACTCTTAGTGGACAGGTGAATAAACTGGGGCCCAAAGGTACATGCGACTGCCATGTGGTACAGAGTCGGGCTCGCAGTGATGCTGACTGCCTCGAGCTGATGAGAGGTCCTGGCCCACACTTTGTGTCACCTTCTATGAACATGCAATGCTCCAGTGTCCTTAGGGCTTCCTGACCACAGGGACTGGCCTCGCGCTTCCCCACCTGGCTACCTACTGGCACCCCCGAAGCCAAAGGGCAGTTGTACTGCCAAAGCAAGTAGTCCTTTCTTTCTCCAGTCCTCACACGAGGCCTGCTAGGATTATCCACTCCCTATTGACAAAAGAGGAGGCCAAGGCTCAAACTCACCAAGTAGCTAGCCCAAAGTCATAAAAGCAGGACTTGAACCTTCATCTGCATGAACTTTAAAGCCTGTCTTGCTTCCTCTTTTGGAGAACACAGCAGAACAGGGCTCCCACGTTCCCCAGAAGCAAAAGCTTTGGTTTGCAAGCTGCACAGAGGCTCCCTGGGAGACTAGCATGCCATGGTATGGCCAGAAAGAACGGACAGCAAAATCACAAGTGGGTACATCCCACTGAAGGGCACAGGTGGTGCTTGGAGCCAAGGCTCCACATCTGTTCTTCAGTAGACAGACCAGCTGTCCAGGTAGAACCAAAGAGCATGCCAAAAATGGATGTCCACTCTCCTCCAAGGGATCAAAGCTCAGACAGGGTCAGGCAAATGGGAAGCAGGCTCAAGGCCTACCAGGTGCCACCACACTCTGAGTCATTTGAGTCCTTCCAACCATCAACACAAAGAAGGTCTCCTGAACTCCATCTTAGAGATGAGGAAACACTGTGCCCAGGTTGGAAATAACAGAGTCCAAACTGAGCCTGGCTCCAAAGCCAGGGACTGAGCCAAGATCACCAACAGAGGACCAAGCCAACGTCCAAATCTTGTGATCCAGCCCACTTCTGGATTAAGCACAAGGTAAAGAGTTCCCTCACCAGAAGCAAAGTACCCAACATGCAGCAGCCGTGCCTCCCTCCACTGCTTTCCCCAGAGAATCACCTGGAAGGTGGGGACCCCAGGAAGGGGAAGGCCGAGATGGTGACCCAGATGCCATTTTGAAAGGCCCTGGACCTCCCCAAGAATCAGTGTTCCAAGGTCAGCGAGAGAGACCAGTTTCAGAAAGCACCATGTGAGCAAACGTCATACCTGCAATGTTCTCCTGCTTGGGACAGATGCCTTTTGTGGGCGACAGTAGATGGTCATCTTCATCCGGCGTGACCTGGATCCCGATCTCCACTGGCTCGGACACTCTCCTGAGCTCAGAGCGAGAGGAAGGTGGAGGACTGCCCTTGTCCAGGACCTTGTCGTAGCAGGAGCCTAAGCCCCCACACTGTTTCTTCTTGTGCTCTATAAAAACCAGGATGTCCCCCAGCGGGAAGTTCATCTGACACTGGCCACAGGTGAGGAGGTCAGGGTCGGGGCCACCCACCATCAGCCCCAGACTGCTAGGCTCCTCTATCTCCAGACCCTCATCTTCCTCGAGGATAGCAGCCTCCACATGGTCAGCCTCTGCTGGAGACAGAAAGGAGACAGGGGAGGGGCAGAGAAGACAAAGATGGGCTTAGGTGATCACAGACTGGCTCCTTCCTCCCCCTTCCCACTAAGAAGCCCCTTTACTGTCAGCCACTGTGGCTCCCCACATCCTCCCAGGATTGGAGCTCACCATCCCATCCCATCCTAGCCCTGAGGTCATCACAACAGCACTGATTTTTGGCTCTTTAGAGTAGGCCCTGCCAATTTCTCTGAACACATATGAGTTCAGACACACACACACACACACACACACACACACACACACACACACACCGGCTGCCAGCACGGTCAGCTGTCACTCCAGATCGATGATTTGGTAAGCTGCCCCCCACGTTATCCCAATGGACAGCTAGGCTAAGAAGCAGGCAGGTAGCACAGAGTCCCAGCCCCTGGCTCCAGCGGACGCTGAGCCCTCTCCCCACCAGCTTTCATTCATGTTCATAGCCTCCCCATTCATGAGCTTCCTACTCGCATTCTTCTACCTGAGTCCTGGCCAGGTACCAAACTGGAAAACAGAAACCCAGACAGGCGTTGGAAAGCTAGTCCTGCCCAGAGAAAGAAGTGCAGGTGCTCAGAGGGAAGAATCAGGTTCCAGAATGTGGAAGGAAAAAGCACACTGAAGAGGGAGCTGGCTTCCCCACAGCCTGCGCTTCTGCTCAGACCTCCAGACCCTCGTAAAACTCTCAGTGCTCATCAGCTCCCCACCGTCCTTTGTGTCGGTCGGTTTTCTTTTCATTCCAAGAAAGAAAGAAAGGAAGAAAAAGAAGCCTCTTCGGACTCCAAAATCATTTCTTGGCAGACCTCAAACCACACTTTCAACGGGATGGATGCTTTTAGATTTCGTTAGCAGTCAGTACACTTCCTTTTTGCTGTTTATGTTATTTTTTTGGAAGGGTCACGAGACCTAAATATTTTGAAGCTAATAAATGCTTCGAGAATCAGCCACTCCCTCAAGGGATCCCTGGAAGGCTCAGCCTGGAAGTGCCATCATAAATCAAAGGAAGTGGACGAGGAAGTTCCCTGTTCCCCCGGGGGTCGGCACAACCCTGGCTGGAATCCCTCCATGTCGGCATGGAAGACCATGCCTTCGTAGTAGCTGGGGACTGCCACAGGTCTGACACCGGGGAGGGAGACAAGCTTCTGGGCTGTCCAGCAATTAGGGGAGGGTAATGATTGGCACAGAGGAACCGGAGGGAGTGAAAAGAAGGAAGATGCATTCCGTGGCAGTGAGGTTATTAATGAGCCAGAGCCAACGTGGAAAACTGAAGGAAAATATTCTGTGGGATCTCCCATGCTACACGGGAGTTGCTGCTCCATGTTCTCTGAGCACAGCTTGTTTGGGACCTATCAGAGGCCATGTACAGAACTGAACCTGAGCCTGGTGATGTACGATGAGTACCTAGAGCCGTGCATGAAACAGGGAGGGCCACTCGTGGCACAGGGAGAGCCGCAGGTACCACCAATGGAAATCACAACTTGAGTCTCTGCCCTGGGAGGCAGGCAGGACCCTCTGTGAATTAAATGTAGACATGCACCCCAAAATATGGCAGGTCAGAAACAGTGCGCAGATGTGTAAATCTTACATCTGCTGCCTGTAGATCATTAACAGCAACGGGGTGGGGGGGAAGGGGAGAGAATAGGCAGGTAAAGGGGCCATCCTCACCATGCCAGCGAGAAACCATTAATTACACTTGAAAAAGAAATCGGAGTTTACTTAAAAAGGAGCTTGAAGACAATGCTACGTAATTAATTTACCGATTTATCTTATGAAAAGCTGCCTTGCCATGGTTAAAATGTAATCACAACCTTCAAGCTGACGGTTCGAGGGAGAGACTGGATTCCTGTAAACCGTTTGTCAGGACGTAAAAGGTAATTATTCGGTTCCTCCTTTCCCTTTAATAATCTAACATTGAGCAATACTGTTTATATTGAAAAGCTTGCACCTTTAATTACCAATTACATATACATAATTTCAGAGCCAAAGGAGAGGGCTGTGCAAACAGTCCTTTAGAAATATAAGGATGTATTGTGCCCCGTTTGCAGAAAGGAAACACCTAATAAATAGTAAGAAGGTGTCAAAATATTGTTTGGTCAAAAAGAAAAAAAAAAAAGCCCAAAGGAAATGAGCTGAAAGGCAAAGGCTGGGGGGGGGGGTGGACAAATGAAATTGAGAATTCAAAGCTAAGCAGGGAGAGGTGCTACACCTGGGACAGTTTCCGTGCCTGCCTGGCGCAGGCCTGGCAACGCACCTGGTCCTCACAGCCTTTGATAACAATAAACCCACTTCCCCAGCCCAACGCTGCTCTCAGCAGCAAAGGGCTGCTTTTCGCCTTTTAATTGAGTCTTGTTATTATTATTCAACTTATTATTATTGCTAGTAACTTTTCCAGCCATGCCTGCCCACCTGGACAGTTCTCCAAAGCGCGAGTTACATCCTCTCTGCTAGGAGGCTTCCGTCCACAAAATCCCAAATCCCTTCTCTAACGCCAAAGAAACACAGACTAGCGTAAAAACCAGTAGAGGTCATATATGGCTGGTCACAGTATTCCTCTCTCTCCACTCCTTCTTTGACTAAGACTCCAAACCAGACCCTTTTCTTTTCTTTTTTTTTTGCTTTTTCTTTTTTTCTTTTTTCTTTCTTTCTTTTTGTTTTTTTTTGTTGTTGTTGTTGTTGTTCTGTCTGGTTGTCTGTCTGTCTTCTGTCTGTCTTTTCACTTTTCTCATGCAGCAAGTCCTGTGAGTCCCAGTAGCTGGGTGTGAGGGCTAAGCTGCAGTTCTGGGTTCTGTGACTCTCCCTTACCGGCAGCCAACCTGGAGTACCAAAGCCCTGCAGAAGACTGACAGGCTGTGCCAGCACAGGCTGAGCTCAGAACTTAGGTCTCAGCTTCCAAGACTGGGATCCAACCCACCGCAACTACAACAGGAGTCAGGAGGAGAAGGAACAGGAAAAAAAAAATTAAAACTAGCTCCCCTCCCATTTTCAGTGTTGAAAGTAAAACTCCTGACGGTGACAGCGTGCCCATCCTGTCAACGCCAAAGAGTGGGGTTTCCTCTCCCCACCCCCAGGCTGTACGTGGGCCTCTGAACTCTGTCCTGTTGCTAATGATTCTCTAGTGAGGAGGGTGGCAAGATCGACCCCCAGCATTCAGGCAACAGAGTCCCACTGAACCCCAACTTCTAGGTTAGAATGGATGGAGCAGGCAGCTTGGCTGGGCCTAGAAGCTCGGGCGGAGACACCCCCAAAGGCTGTGGTTTCATTTCCGGTGGCAGGCGGATATGGGCTGGGCATGTAGTGTGTGTGTGTGTGTGTGTGTGTGTGTGTGTGTGTCCCTTTTAAGAACTGTATCAGTAATGGACGAAAGAAAGGGGGAAAGAAAAGGGCCAAGTCCTGAGAAAAGGGAGGCTGGTCCTCTGGAACCCTCCTCGGCTACCCTATACTGAAGACACTTGCATCTCCCAGCTCTGAACCACCTCAGAGGACCGAGCCTCCGCTCACACCGGCAGAGAGTCCCAATTGCTCCCCAAGAGAGAAGAGACAGATGAAAGCAGCCCTCTAACCCCCAGATTCTAGGAACCAGCCCTTCCTTCAGCCTCGGGTCTTAAAAATTAAGGCCCAGATAAAGCGTCCCTCTGAAAAGATATGTGCTCTCCTGAAAAGCTCCAAGTGTCAGGCAGCCTGCAAAATATGACTGCTCTCAGTACACCACGAGCCGGATGAGAACAGCAGTTACTAAAGTGTTTGACTCATTAAGAGGAAAATGAATGGACGGATGCAGCCGGCAACTTGCTCAAATGTAAGATACCACAGGATTGGAGAAAGCCTTGAAATATTAAATCTAAAGCACATGAACAAATATATATTTATACACATACAGAGAGAGAGAGAGAGAGAGAGAGAGAGTTAGATTTTCTTTTACAACAAAACCACATTTTATTTACAAGGCTGGGCCTCCTCCCAGCTGGTAAATGCGTTTAGAGGCAATGAAATCAGGCTTCACAAATAATAATGGGCATCACTGTTAAGCTGAAGGGGGAACCCTTGCTCCTAAGGCAAACTTCCCATGTGTCAGCTCCGATGGGAAGGAGTTCGGGACAGAAGACACAAATGGAGAGAAGCTGTTCACACTGGCCCAGCCAAGCAGCCTCCAACCCTCCAGCTCACGAGGCCTCATCTAGCCTGAAAGTCCCACACGTGCACACGGATCCTAGGGCCCTGCCTGTCCTGGTCCATTAACAACTGCCCTGCACTTGCCCCTTGGGGAATTCCAGCCTTAGGAACAGCTACCTGCTGTCCCCAGGCCATGGTGTATGTGCACTGCCACACATCACACACACACACACACACACACACACACACACACACACACTCCCGCACACACAGGCATTGCTGCAGACATGGTACTTGGGCTCCTGTTCCCCTCTGCTTCCACTCAGTTCCAAATTTCTATCCGTAATAGCTAACCTACAGAAAGCACTGTTTCAATAAGGTAGGTGGAGACAGTAAGGAACGATGGGGGGAGGGGAGACGGGTTGGGGGGTAGTCCGGGAGCAGGTTGTTAAAACCGTGTGCTGCCAACGTCACAGCCGCCATCACAATGATTATGTATGTTTACAAAAGATGCTCAGCGTCCACCCTGCTCTGCCTCATGCCTGCTTCCTATGGAGCCAGAGCCCTGGCCAGCCAGCCTGTGCTCACCAACACTCTGCAAAGGGGTCTTCCCAGTCTACTCCGGGGGGTACACACAGGAGGGCCGGAGACAGGGAGAGACACAGCAACAGTCACGACACCTACACTCACGCCCGGTGGAGCACAACACTTTCTGAGCTCCCATCAATTTTTAATTTATTGGATCCAAGGGAAAATAACAGCCATAGGGAGGGGAAGGAGAGGGCCGGGGGGGGGGGGGGGGAAGGCAGGACTCAATCCTTGGGGGAAAAAATGCTTTATGTCTAGGTGGGCCAAGGCACCACAGCGACAA